TTTGAGGAGACCACCAACGTCCCCTAGGAGATAAAAGATTGAAAGAAAAAAAAAAGCCTGATGCTAAATGAAATAAGGGGAATATTGACCTTAGGGTAAGACCCTCCCTGACATAGCTTTAGATCTTACTCTTTCAGTTGTTGCCCCTTTGACTCTTGGCATTACCCTGGGCACTGCAATTTCTTCAGCAGCTTGCTTAGCCTCCACTTCTACTACACTGCAGGGAGAGGGAGAGGAAAGGGTCTTTCTATCTAGCTCTAGGTGACTTAGGACTTACTGTGTAGCTCAGGCTGACCCCAAATTCATGACAATCCTCCTGGGATAGTTTACGGATTTAAATGTGCACCACTAAGCCCAGCTTCTCTAATTCATGATGACAAAAAAACAAAAATAAGGAACAGGAGCCAACTATGGCAGCATATGCCTTTAACCCCAGCATTGGGGCGTGGGGGGAAGAGTGTGTGTGTGTGTGTGGGGGGCAGAGGCAGGGAGATCTCTGTGAGTTTGAGGCCAGCCTGGTCTATAGAGTGAGTTTCAGGCTAGCCAGTGCCCCTTGGTCCTCCTTCCTTGGGAACAATCCTCCTGTAGTTGTTTGATTGCATTAAAATAGTCCCCCCGCCCCCGCCACTATGGCAGGCCTTCTCATAAAATATTTTATCAGTATGATGCAGAGTTAAAGCACCATTTATAATGTGTGACCAGCGCCTCTGCCCTGTTCTAAAAACGTGTTCATAACCTAAAAGAAACCTTGCATCCACAGAGTTGTTCCTGCACCTAACCTCCACAGACTGGGTTTATCTGTCTGTTCCTTCCAGTGTGAGGAGATAGCTCAAGCCCTACTTTCTCAATCTTGTTACCAAGGTGGCAGTAGGACATGGTTTGAGCTTATCAGGAATCTAAACAGGACATTAAACCTTATCTCTAAAAGGACAAGGACAAGGAAAGGCCACAGGGTGCCATTTGAACTGGATTGTGGCATTTCACATGACCATGTAATATCATAGGTGGAGCTGTGGAGGCATTCTCTGGGGTGCTGGGGATGGAACTCAGGAAAAGTGTTCCATCACTGAGCCAAACTGCTGTTAGCTGAAGTTGTTCCTGGAGATGGCAGGTAGACCAGGGTTCACCTCTGGGGTGTAACTACACAATGGGTCAGGGTTTGTAGTGGGCTGTTATTACAGGTGGGTCACAGACAGATGCGGTGCCAATGTAAATGTCTTTTCCCCCAGACTTAGTTCTACTTTGTTTTTGTTTTTTGTTTTTCGAGACAGGGTTTCTCTGTGTAGCCCTGGCTGTCCTGGAACTCACTCTGTAGACCAGGCTGGCCTCAAACTCAGAAATCCGCCTGCCTCTGCCTCCCAAGTGCTGGGATTAAAGGCGTGCGCCCCCACTGCCTGGCTAGTTCTACTTCTTGAGTGAACCCTTTCCCCTTTCTTGGTCGAGGATGGTGTAGACTGGTCATTTATTGACCTGGCCCACAGTTGGGACCTGGGTAGTGTTAACTTGATACTTGATACCTGTGTGGTTGTGATGCTGGGAGCTTAAGGGCTCTCCTGGGGCTCTGGTATGTGTGTGTGTGTGTGTGTGTGTGTGTGTGTGTGTGTGTGTGTAAGCGTGTGCTACATTCTCTGGTTTGTCACTGTAGAAGGTGAGGAAACACTTGGTGTTTCTGCCTGCCAGTCTGTGCAGGATCCTTCTGTTTGGATACTGCAGGGCCAGTGCTCACAACATTGTGAAGGAACCAGTGTCTTGAGAGGGGAAGTGACTGCCCTGTCATATGGCCAGCAAGTGGCCTGGCTAGATGAGGACTTATGTCTTGTGACTTCCCTGCTGGATGTTACTCCCTTCATAGCCAGGGGCCTCTCTCTCTACTTCCTGCTGCTGATTTGTGGTCTCGGAGTCCTGTTTGTCCTGCATCCTGGAGACTCTCTTCTCATATCTTTTCAGGGATAAGATGGCCACAGTACCCTGCTGAGGTCAGGATAGTCTCACTGGGATTCATGCCTGGGGAGACCACAGCCAGGGAGCCAGCCTCTAAGTTGAGACCTGCTCAGCCTCAGGGTGTGTTTTCACAGGGTGCATGAGGACCTGAGTTCAGATACCTAGCACCATGTGAAAAAGCCAGGCATGCTGAAGTACAGGAGAGGCAGCAATAGGTGGGTCCCTGGTGCTCACTGGATAACCAGCCTATCCTAATGCTAAAACCTATGGTCCAGTGAGAGGCCCCGCTCAAAACAACAAACAACAAACAAACAAGCCCAAGTAGATGGCTCCTGGGGAATGACACCTAGGTTGACCTTTGGTGTCCGAATGCATATGCACACACATGTACCTGAACATGCACAAACATACATACCCTTCCAAGTACACACAGTAGTAGTAGCTGACTAGTCGAATGCCAGTCTAGTGAGAGGGTAGAGATTCTCTCTCTCTCTCTCTCTCTCTCTCTCTCTCTCTCTCTCTCTCTCTC